AGCATACCTTTTTTCATTATTAAAGTCAGACATGTCTATTCGCAGTTCATAATATCCTTGATTAACAATTTCATGTATTTGGTGGTTTCCTGAAGAAAAAATTAAATTAATGGAAATTAAACTCATTAAAATGCCCTAAAGAAATATCTTTGATTATTTGTGCTCCTTAATTAATATTTCAAGAAGAATAGTTTATTTAATTCCAATGTATTTATTAGGAAAAATGTTACTTTTTATGTATAGACACTTCTAATTAAAAAAAAAATTCATAACATACCAAGCCAATATTCCCCTGACTTGTTACCAAACCCGTACTTGTAGTCCTTCCAATTCCGGAAAAAGTCTATCACCCCATCCATCCGTCGCTGTATAACCTAAAATATTGCTTGACCGAATGATTTTTCTTTGTGTCAAATACGAACGACACAGTGCTAAATAAGTAGTAATTACCCAATAAATACTATTCAAAAAGTGGGGGAAATTGGATTTACAAGGCTAATAAAATTCAGATCATGATGTCGAGAAGGAAACAAATAACAGGAAAAAACATCACGGAAACATTTATCAATTTATTCGATACTGTGTACGTATAACCAGAAAAGGACAGATTCTCCAGAGTTATAATAATAATAATAATTTATAGAGCGCTAAATATTAATAAATTAACTCTAAAGCGCTGTACAATAAAACGCAAGCAAACATAATTTAAGAGCTATGAATACATACATGTATATAAAATACATACCCATATAATTATGTCTTCGAAATTATAACATTACATTGTACATGTAAAATACTTAATTTACATACAAAATAAAATTACGCCATATATAAAACTGTCAATAAAGGAGTATCTTTTGTGCGTACCTGCTAAAAGTTGTGCTCGAGATAATTAAAAAGCTATTCTATAAAAATGCGTCTTTCATTGTCTTTAGAAAATGTCCAGGGGCTTGGCCTGTTTTATGTCATTAGGAACGTCGTTAAACAAAAATGATGCTGTCCAACCAAGCCGACGTTCACCATACGTGTTTGTCCTAATTTAAGGAACAACTAATCATGATATTGATTTAGATTGCAGTGATCTTGTGGGCTTGTATTCCATTATAAGATCTTTGATATAAGATGGAGCGAAGCCGTGTAAGGATTGGTAGACATATATTTCAAGATTTTACACTGTGGACGAAAAGAATCGGTATCCTATGAATGTCAGCTATTAAAGGTGTAATTTGCTCCCGTTTCGATGATCTTGTAACTAAACGAGCTGTCGTGTTCTGGACTTTTTGAATCCGTTCTAGTATGGTCTTTAAAAATCCATATGGAGGGCAGTTCTCAATTTGGCAGTGATAACGGCGTTCACCTTTGTCGTGCAGGCTTCTTTTGTAAGAAAGCGCCGTATTGCTTGACTTGACGACTTAGGACACCTGCTCTTCCATAGTAAGGTGTTGATCAAAAAAGAAACCTAGATTTATCACACATGGCAAGCTTTCAATGATATTATCACCAACTTTTAGTTGTATTTTTGGCAGATACTTCTGGTGTTGCTTTTTGTTGAAGATTATTAACTCTGTCTTTTCTTGGTTTAGTTTGAGTAGGTTCGATGTCATCCATGAACCAGTTTCTCTAAGGCACTCTTCAAGTCGAGAGAAATATTAGTAATTGTTCCAATTTTCCAGTGGTCTTATAATCCTGTAGATTGTGTATCATCTGCATATAAAGCAGTGATATATCATTCAGTGTCGATGGCATATGATTCAAATGGGTTTGGAGAAGAGGCAATACAATTTCGGTCCGAGTACAGATCCTTGCGGGACACTAAAAAGCAGCTGTCAAGACTCTGATCGGACGGATCCAATTGTGACACATTGTTTTCTGTTCTTGAGGTAAGACTTGATCCACTCAAGTGCACCATCACAGAATCCATAAGACACAGTTAGGCGTTGTAATAGTATCTTATGATCTATTAAATCAAAAGCAGCGGATAAATCAAGAATGATAAGGACTGCTGAAGATTGTTGGTCCAGAGCTGTCACATTATTATTGTGGACCTTGATGACGGCCGTTTACGTGGAGTGCCCGGGACGATGTGCCGACTGAAGTGCATCGCGAAGAGAATTCGCATCCAAGTGGGTATCAATCCTACGAAACACAACTTTCTCAATTTTTTTTGAGATTAAACTCAAGTTGGATACGGGTTGATAGTTTTTAGGGTTACAGTTAGGGTCGACAACAACACGTGGCCACAAAGCCAATTTACCACCATTCTGAAACAGAGTCAGTAGATGATATATCCCACTCGGTTAGCCAGACAAGCTCGGATTCGGTGTTGCATACTCTTAAGGTCTCAATACTGCAGCACGTTCTTGCACATTGGCAGGAGATTGTTGACGTTAGCATAGCACAGCCATGCACGATGGCGAAAAAAAAACCCAGACTGAATCCGGGCCATAGGAATGTGGTAATATTCTGTTGTTTAGATAATCTGTAACGATCATGGAGCTATGGCATCTTGCATTGTCCCTTTGAAAAATGAAACGACGGCTAATGCAACGTGTAAAAGACACAACATAGGATGCCAAGACGTTGTTCCGGTAGGATCTAGACTGTCTTGTGACAGGTGTAACAACAACATGCAAGTCTGTTCTGTTGGCAACAGTGATGTCTCCCCACACTTTTACAGATCCACTTCCATATCGATCATGTCTAATGGCGTTAACGTCATGGACACGTTCGTTACGTCGACGCATAACCCTTCTGCGTCTGTCCAAGAAGTCGAAAGTGAACCTCAACTCATATGAGAACATTCAGTAGTTCCATCGGCGATAACCCTAGCTTTGATGGTGACAAACCCTTTTCTGGACCAAATTTGACGTTCCCTGAAACTGAGAATGACACGTGGACGACGGATATGTAATTGAAATCTTTGCAGTCGATTCCTGATGGTCTGGCCACTCACTGCCAAGCCAGTATCCCTTTGAAGATATATTATCTGTTTTGCTGTTACCAGACGATTTCTCAAGGCAATGGTGAGGATAAAAATGTCCTGAGCCTGAGTTTTTGCCCTTAGTCGACCGGATCGTGGTCTATTCTGAGCAAACCGAGTAGCACGATGTCTCGACCATAGTCTGCTTTTAACAGACTGGGAAACATCCATTGCCCTTGCCACAGCTACCTGTCTTGTGCCAACCTGTAGCATGTTAAGGGAATGTATCCTTCATTATGTGTCAAACTTCGGATGGTTTTTATTTTATTAACGACTTCAACAATTGAAAATGAAATGCTTTTTCTTCAAAACTTTCTTTAGAATTGTTTTAACCTTTTAACTCAGAGGCATTCAAATTAGCGGTATCACAGCCCTACTCGGCAGCAGCATCCCTTGTAGATCGTTAAAGTGTGATTGGTGTGTTTGGGCATTGAGTTTCTTTGAAAATACTTCCTTTGTAAGGGATTTTACAACATGGTTCATTATCCCTTTGTATATGTAAACTGTTATTTTTATAAACTACAGTATTCCCTATCTTTTTCAAATAGTGAAATACGTTTGTTATGTGTAGATACTAGATGGGCATGGTCATAAAGATAACTCGGAAAGGTAATTATATGTGATAAGTCACTTGCAAATGTACCATTACCACGCCAACTGGTATCTGCACATAACCAAACGTATTTCATTATATAAAAAGGTAGGGGATAGTTCACGACTACTTTACAAAATTAAAAAACGATACCTATAACAGTAAGCAAAAAAATATCAGAAAAAGGTCATTTGAACCAATAGTTTAACTAAAATAAAAAATTTGATTTGTTATAAAGTGGAAGCGTCTAATGATAAGAATGACACCAACAAACCGTCCAACCACCACCATCTGTGTGCTGGTCACAGAAGACCTCCAGCTGTCCCCCTCCTTGTGGATAGATCGTGTACACCTTGCTCTCCATGTAACCCTCCCATAATACATCTTGGCAGTCTCTTGGAAAATTTTCTACTACACAATTAAAATAGACAGTGTTTATGAAATTAGTCTTTTTGGGGTGACCGACTTATGCATCAGTTGTAAAAACGATAACTATATACATGGTACATTAAGTTTTTATTTTCAAGATATTTTTCGCAGATTTGAAAAATATGATAATTTCACATACGAGAGTTGATCCAAAAGTTCGTGGAATTTCTTTCTAAATTTTTTTCTTGATTTGATGAAAGCAAACAACAAACACATTTATGAAATAGAGTCATAATACAACAATACTAGAAAATTTCATCACTTTCCAATACCAATAAGGCCACACGAGCTTTTTGAAAATAGATAGTTGTGAAACCCTGGGGAAACTTTTACGTTACGCCAAGTTAGATATGTCGCGTCACGTTATACATTGTAGAAGCATTTCATCCTAATGTCCAATTCGAATACGTAGTTCTACCAATAATGCCTCTTTTCTCCATTGTTTGTTCTCAAGAAAAGCCTGGGTATCCTCTCGCACAAGGTCATCTTTATTTTTCACTCATATTACAAAATGCTCCCAATCTTTCCACATGATGTTCCAATTTCAGTAGCAATGTCAAGAAGAGTACATCAGCCGACAACGTCCTTTAAAGGTTTTAATTTGTCTAGGGCGATAAACACTTACAACAGATCCTCAAAAAGCGGCCACACATTTAATCACCGTCCACAGAAGTTCCATTTTTCTTAAGATTCTTATGTCAATGAAAACCAGTAAATAAATGCATTTTCCCCAGCCTGTGTCAATAATATATGCGTTTCAGTTGAAGTGATCCCAGGAATTAAAAAAAATGACTTGACTGAAATTTGACATTGTCGAACACCTTAAAGATGAACAATAAATCACAAACCAATTAACTAAACATCCAGTAAAATCAGTAAAAGTCTCAGACAAAGGTTTTTACAAGATCAAGCAATCGTAATAATGACATAATTTTCGTTTTATATACCACATAGGGTTGTTTTATTCTCATTTCACGTATTAAGAATTAGAATGAAAACTAGAAAAGAAACTCGTTGCGAGCAACGAGAGGTCTTCCGTCTGATTCTGGAAGAAAAACCTGTAAAACTGAGCTGAAAAACTGAAGAGAAATGAACGACACAAGGAGGATTGAATCCTGGTCGCCAGCGTGAAAATCCAATGAACACGCTTTCTTTATTTCCAACGCGCTAACCATTACGCTATTGTGACTACTGTTCTAAATGTACTTTGTATATACTTCTGCAACAGTACATCAGTCTACGAATTATGAAATCCTGGCCACTTTTCATAATTTTGCTTCAAACCCAACATTTAAATCTTCGCGCCTTTTCTTTGGAATGTTCCATTAAATAGGTGTGATAGCTTCAATGAAAATAAAAAAAGAACGTTCCTATTGCCTAAATTTTGAGGTTCAGACAGTATATTTAACATTTTGTACACATTCTATATCGTATAAAGGTGAATAACACTATAGAGGTGAAATGGTTATACACTGTCATTCCCGTTTATCCCCAGAGTGAACTATCCCGATTACTTATACTTTTATGAAAAGATTGAAATGGTTCGCCGAAAAACGTCTTGCACTACGACGGTCGAGGACCAGATACCATTTATGTTCAATGCTTGAATCAGATCGATCTTTGAGAAAAGAATGTTAATATAAATTCCATTAAACGATCTTATTTAAAAATTGTTTTCTTATTTTTGTCTTTCTATTAGTTTTTAAAATATAACACAAGTGTGCATGGGAAAAACAGTGGCAACGTTTTATAACTACTATATACATCGATATTGTTTCTTGAAAAACTATTATTTATAGCTATGGTTTAAGATCTGTTTTTTCCCTGGTGCAAAAAAAAGTTTCATTTGCACATATAGTTTTTTTCTTTTTCTACTTTGAAAAACAGCCAAAACCAATGATAGAAGACGATTGAGAAGACCTTGGAACATATCTTTAGTTTCACACAGAAATGCAACGTTACTTATACGTGACAATCAACGCATTCATTTACATTTCATTTATCCTTATGTTACTTTCGTTCAAACTTGAGATTATCCGTGGACAAATGTCATTTTAAAATCAGGAAATGTCCCATAACTTGGCACCGAAATCTCAAATCAAAAAAAAGAATTATAAAAGGCGGGCCACTATTCATAATCTCGCGCCAAACGCCATGAGTAAATATTCCTTCCTTTTCTTTGGACTAATCTATTAATAGGTGTGATAGCTGCAATGAAATTAAATAAATAAAACAACTTCTTATCGCCTTTATTTTATTTCGACATTAAGAAAGTATATTTAACACATTGTACACAATACATATCATATCTAGACCAGTTACACTAAAAGCAGTGAAACGGAAATTAAGTTTTAAGATTTCACTGAATTGCAACGTACTACTACGTGAAAGTCCAAGTAGTTTTTACATTTCATGCATCCTTATGTCAGAATGGTTTAATCAAACGCCCAGCAGCCTCCATAAACCCCTACTCGCGAAATGGCGGAGTTGACAGAGACATCCGCCATTTTGGTACCGCTTCAGATTTTCAAATGTTAATATCTAGAGTTCAGATTAACCAATGTCCAAACAACTTATACAGTAAGCATCAATCATAGGGTCTCTATTATCATTCCAAAAATAAATTAGAAATATTGAAAAACGAAAAAGTTACAAAATGCGTTCTTTTTAATTCGCTTCTCCTAACGACAGGAAGTACCGACGACGAACAAAACATCGCGTCCTGGATAGTAAATATCACGATCTATAATCCCTGAAAGTTTCATGTTGATATCTTTTACCGCTTTTGAGTTTAATCGCGGACAAAATGTCATTTTAATTTCAGAAAATTGTCCATAGCTTGACACCGGAAGCGAGTTTCCAAATTTTCTCTCGCATATAATAAATTCATGTAACAACACATCTGTCCTGAAAATGTCATGTAATTTCATCCAGTAGTCTTTGAGAAATCGCGTGCACAAAATTAGAAAGTCAAAAAAATAAGAATAATAATAATAAGAAGAAACAATAGAATCACTTTAAGGTCTTCCGTGAAGACGGAAGACCTTAATTAACGCGTTAAAGTATCCCCCGCATTTCCAAACAACCAGAGAGTACTGTATACAGGGTTATTTTCGCCCGTCTTATTTTCGCCCTTTCACACTTGGAAACAATTTTGCCCCGTTTTAAATTCGCCCAGTCATAGTTTTGTTTAAGAAATTATACTGTATTCTATGATTTCGCCTCGTTTTAAATTCGCCCAAATAAGATTAGGGCGAAAGGGGCGAAAATAAAACGGGGCGAAAATTTCCCTGTTTACAGTAACTATCATAAATATCTAAAATGTTTTTTATTTAAAATATTCAACAAGTGTCTATATTCTCATTTGTAATTTTCAACCGATTTCACTTGAAAATAAATATGAGGAAATTCCACGAACTTTTGGATCAACACTCGTACATAAGAACAATAAAAAAAAACAATGCATTTAATAGAGGTTATCAAAACATTCGTGGACTGAGATCATTATATTATATATAGTCTGTGCTTTCAAATTTTATAAGGAATATAAAATAACAAAAAGAAATTTGAAAATTTTAACTTGATACCTGAATTATTTACCAAAATTATTATGAAATAAAAGCGACATATATGATTCCCTGGCGCCGTCGCCGTTAAGTTTCATAACGTCCGATAACGTCATTGTTTTTTAATATCTGCTTCTTTTACCTCATACACATACTTTGATTACATTCTCCAGAGATGAGAAAGGACTTAAACACCTTTTGTTTACAGGACTTTACAATGTCATGAACAGTGACTTTCAATGCAAAAAATATTGTTAATGGATTTATACATTGGGAGAGATCCCGCCTGATTGTGCCAGCATATTTTGGTTATGGTCGATAGATGACCTTGTCAGTAAATACAATTTATCATTAAGTCAAATACTGGGGTATATTTTTTCATGCTCGTTGTAAGGCTATGATTGAATTTACACACAAAGTTTCCAGCGTTTCGTTTTTTTTTTCTCGAATAAGACAATAAGCACACGGATGATGTGACCGGTCGACAAGAGATGCTCATTCTCCATGGCACCTGATTCCACGTTTGATGTTTGGAGGTCTGTGTTTGCTTTGATCCTTTTTATTTGATATTGTTCATCGACTTTTGAGCTTGAATACTTTTCATTATCTCCTTAAGCAAAGTACGAATAATAACAAATTACCTGCTGGTCCTAGTTGATGCCCTGGTTTATTTCCTTCAAATAAGAAACCGATGGTACCGACAAAAAAAGCTATTTATAAGCAAAATTGATTTCATGATTGATCGCCACTGGTTTGCGTTTTAACAACAACCAGAGTATTCTTATGTTAGAAGCAGCTTATCATATCAGTTTGAGAAAAGAAACACATGTAAGATAGAATGTATTCCAAGGTGCACTGACTGACATCCGATTTTTAATCTTTAACGTTCTTGGTACCTATTGGCGATAGAAGATATACAATTGTATGTAATTCTGATATTTTATTTTCTACACCAATTTTGATATTTCTACGTGTAAATTAGAAGTGATTTTTTTTTTAGCTCTTCCCTACAACTTACGAAAAAGTACCTTAAACGTGAGTTAACTATAATTTACTATCAAAGTTTTCACTAAAGTAAACAGAAGTTTTTATTATAGGACATCTAAGTATATTAACCATACATGTCTTATTGATACATATAAATCCTATTTTTTAATTCCCATCAGCAAGTTTTGGATATTTAAAGATAATAATTATTAAGGTCTTTCGTTTCTAACGGAAGACTTTCTACTGATTCTGTTGGTAAAGATTATAATTCTTTTTTTTCTTCTACTTCCAAGACGCCAACTTTGAAACTTCATATCTTACTCATTTCTCAATGGATTGCGCTCAAATTTATTTAAAATCAGAATGCTGTCTAACATTTCAAACAATCACTTCCGCTTTTGACTTATATCCCTTTAAATGAAAATTTATAGGCTTTCATTTCCAGACAAAGAAAGATTCTACTGATTTTAGACAATAGAAGGATTGAAGTTGTGCACATTGGTTTTTGTTTTTTGGTTTCTCTATTCAAAATGGCGCTATATAGGGGTCAAAAATTAGAATGCCTAAAAGAGCGAAATTTTACTCATATTTTGCTTTTTATCTTCTAAACTAAAAATATTTTGTTTAAAGATATAGAACAAAATTTGTGCAGAGTTACAATATCATTCAAATGGAATCTCGTGTAACGAGAACGTGTAAATAGACGTTCATTTTTGAAATTTTCATTTATTAACAAATCTTTTAATAAGAAAAAGAAAAAAAAAACAAAGGAAACGAAAAAAAAAAACACCTCACCAGCAATGATTTCAAAGCGTAGCCATAAAGATTTCATTACAAAACATAATATAAATCTTGTTGTATTTCCTTATTTCTTTATGAAGTTAGATGAATTCACAGTGTATTTTTAATATACATTAGAAAATTAGATGTTTTTCTGCTTGTAGCAATTGCAAGTCAGCATGTTTCTAATTTAGCTTACGTAGCAATATTCACTTAATTTACAATGTACAACTCTAATGCTTATTTTTACCGGGTACCAACATAAGTATATAATTTAATGTACATGAAGTGCAAAATTAGCTATTTTTTTCACAAACGCATTAATTTTTTACAGACTTCAGACTTCAAAATATTTGTGTAATAAGAAATTTAAAAATGTCGAAAACGACTAAAATATTCTCAGGATTAAATGTTATTATGAATACTGTCTATTTCTATAACAGTTGCTTGTAATTGACATTTATTTTAGTTTTTTTTATTATAGTTCCTGTCATACTTCCTAATCTTGTGAATATATCAAAACTTTTACTGTCTGGAAGACTGGACGATTTGAAGACTACTCTTTGGAATATAACGTGCTTGCTAGCAAAACGTCATTTTGTTTTCAACGTCAGAATGAATTTCTTCATTGTTTTCTTGTCCATACTCTCGAGTTGTCATGGTATTCTTTTAGACGGTCTTCGACCTGAAAGTCATACCTCTGGTGGACCAGGTTATCAATTCTGTTCTTCAAAAATGAATTAATACAAATTATAGCTTGCAACTAAAATATTTCTGAAAGAAAAATATCAAACGTAAATGAAATTAGAAAATTTGCTTTTCAAAATCATTCACTCATTTTAAGAAACTAAAATGTATATAATTTATCACCCATATGACATTATATTGCAATAATTAATTGTTTAACAGACACAAAAGGAAAAAAGACAATAAAGTTTACATTTTAAGTCGTTCAGTACAAAAAAATATTATATTTGATATAGAAGATGAACATGTATTGACTTCATAAAATAATGGACTTTCTCCTTGTTTTCTTACAATATAGGTAACAGTACAGGCATGATGATCAAGTTAAATTTTGTAATACTATTGTACCTTTTAGTTGAGGAATTCCCACGCGATTGTCAAGATTTACTATGGCTAGGTCAAAGAGAAAGTAAGATCTACACAATCTACCCCCAACGAAGCGGAAGTTTTGAGGTTTTCTGTGACCAGAAGACAGATGGAGGAGGATGGGTGGTATGAAAATGTATATGTATCAATTAAACAAAATAGTTTGCAAAAAGTTATTTTGAGTATTAATGTTACTGTGATTCAGCGTTACATTTTTGTTGATAATACATAAACATTTTACATCATTTTGAAGGATCCCATTTTAGATTAAAACGAAATTGTTTTGATTACATTATGCATTAAATAATCTATTTTTTTTATATTTATTGATAAAAGGTTATACAAAGGCGAAAGGATGGTTCGGAGGATTTCTTTCGAGGTTGGACTGACTATAAATATGGATTTGGAAACAAATCTGATGAATTTTGGCTGGGTAAACAGCAAGCTCTACTTCAGATTTCTTATAAAAATTTCAATAATCATTTATAACATGTAGTGTTTACCCTATCGTCGGAATTTCAAAGAGGGTTTTTACGTTAACTTATTTTTAGCGGTTTTGAAGTAAGCAGCAAAAATTTCAATCGCCTTTGCAATCTCATATTCATTAGAACTGAATACAAGAAAATCGCCTAAATGCCTAATTAACCTGAAGTGTTACCAATATAACTTTTATTTGGTATTGTAGCATTCAAACTTTTGTGTGAATCGGTAATTCGAACAAACATTAAACATTTTGAAAGTTGTGCTATGGTAGATACAATGACCTTGTCAGCAAATACAATTTATCATTAAGTCAAACTGGGTGGAAAAAGCGGTTTCCCATCATGGGAAACTTTATGGAAACCACATGGAAACCTCAAGTTTACATCATGTTTCCCAGTGGTTTCCGTAGCGGATGCTAGGTTATTCCGCCAAGTTTCCGTGACACGGAAACCCCCTACGCTCAAATCTGACTTTATTCATGCTGATTTTTAGACCATTTTTTTCACGCTGAGTTGTCTATGGTTTTCATCCGTTTTTTTTTCGATTATTATAAGAAGCATTTGGTTGGTGTGCACGGTAGGCAGGGGGATGCTCACTCCTCAGAGGCAAGTGATCCACCTCTGATGTTTTGGAGGTACTTGTTTGCTCTGCTCTTTGTAATGTTTAATGAACTTTTGAGCTCGAACACTGTTCTTTATCTAAATGTTCCTATATTTTATGGTAAAGACGAATTTCCCTCTCTTTTGCAATGTCATGGAATTCTGTGTCAGCCATAAAATGTTCTGCAAAAATTATTGGCATTCCTTTTGAGTAGGCAAAACGTCAAATGTTACACCTGATAAGGAAACTTGCTATAAGGTATATATTAATCCGAAAAGTGGTTTAGAATTTGGATATTACATTTATAAGTCCGATAAAAAGTCCATATTTTATTTTAAGGAAATCATCGGATATGGGAAATTGTAAATCAAGGATACTATGAATTACGAATCGATATGGAAGACTTCGTTGATGAAAGTCGGTATGCAACCTATCGAAAGTTTGGCATCGGTGATGACAGCACGTCTTATGCACTGACTGTCCAGGATTATGTCGGGACAGCAGGTATATTTATGATGTTTACACATTCATTGAAGTTTAATGGCAGTGTATGAACACGACTAAAATAGGTTTCAAGAATTTATACCCACTTCATTAATTCTAACTCATATAGATGTCAGCTCAGTTATAAAATATGATGGAAAGGGTATGCTTCTACTGAGATTTCTTTTTAATTTTCATATTTTTTTCTTAAATTATAATTATTTGACATTAATAGACGTCGTTTATGTAGGAGCATGTATTTACCGTAGTAGTTCCATATGGATATTTTTTATTATTGTGACGTTAAATTTGTTTTAAAATGTTGCTTTAGAATCGTGATGTATAAGGTGTTCATTTTTATGTCCCATTCAAATCCCATTGCAAGATGTGAGGTCCAATCGATGAGGTTGAATAAAGTGGGGGTGTGTCGTACAATGAAGTAAGTGCGGTCACGAAGCAAACAGCGTCAATAATCAAAAGCACTTAGTACCACTTTGTAGCGTCTATCGGTTAGTAGTGGTGTCTATATTTTTTTTTTTTAGCTCAAGGTCCTTTTCCTTCTCAATTGTAAAAGAAAGTATGCCAAATGGAAATCAGGCCTGTGATATGTGTTGGAACCGTTAAATGTGCTTTTTTGCTTTTTCCACAGTGAAATACTGTGACATTTATTGAATAAAAATAATAATCCCTAACAGTGTGACAAAAGATAAGATCAATATGTAGCCAAACTCCAGAAAGAATTTTCTCCCTTTAATGTTGTAAAAATATTCTCTTAGTCTGTTATAAGATAAAGAAAATAAACCAGTCTGCAAGGGATTGAAACAGTAAAATTTCTTTTTAAAAATTTGTGTGTTGTTGAAAGTTTATTTACAACGTTCCCAACCCAAGACTATAACCAATGCCAATGTTTTTTTTAAATCAAAGTACTGAAAGTATTGTTACGAGTTTATGATATTGTTTGTTTGATCACTCTCGAGACCTTTTTCACACTTATATATGGAGACACCACCACTTGCCAATGGAGAGTTCATATTTATTCTTATTCTCGGCATTTACACCCATTGGTGAGTGAGTGCTCTTTTTCGTGTCATCACCTTCTGCAACACGGGATCTCGGTTTATGCGGTCTCGTCCAAAGGACCAGTCTCCATGTCCATCAGTGGGATTCGAACCAGCGACGTAAGGATCAATCCCTTAATTTGGCGACTTTAACTGTATTGGATAATATAAATATTGGCGTTTTTATCCATGGTTTGAATAACATATACTTGTCTACCGTAAAATAATTCAGTAGCTATCGAAACCTTTCTTTTTTGCACTAGTACAGCTGATTTCTTCCATTAGAGATAAATAATTGATTTATTTCGACCTTTCTTTACTGCATGCATGTTTCTCGCTTTGTTTACAAAAATAGGTAGTATTGACCCTGTGTTAACGATTCGCTGGAAAACTGTACGGTTTGTAAGCATACTGGTCAGCGCAAGGATTCTTTTATTCATATACAACCAATACCTCAATTTTGTTTAAAAAAAATAACCTGGGTGTTGTAAAATACTTAATTTTGTCGATTTTCTTTCATAGTTGTTTTCAAATGCTTGTGATAGAAATTTTTTACTTATTTAAAAATCTAATCTTGTTTTCACGACATATCACATGTTTTGACTACATGCACTACCTTCCACTTTTTTTCTTGTTGATGGGAACAGATTCCAATAAAATTGATAAGAAATACTTAAATTTATTATAGTTCATTGCAACATATTCCTATCTGTAGATTATAAAAAGTGTAAATATACCAATATCCAATATTATATCTCTCGAGAATATTTCACTCATATGGAGACATCACCGTATGCCGGTGAAGGGCTTCAAATTTTGACCTTTGCTCGGCATTTAGGGCCATTGAGCAGTGAGGGATCTTTATCGTGCCAACGCCTGCCTCTGACACGGGGCCTCGGTTTTTAAGGTCTCATCCGAAGGACCTGCAACTTTCACTTCAAAGTGCCGAGCGCATGGCGAAGGAACAGTTGCTACCCATTTTATCGACTGAGTCAGTCGCGGCCGAGATACGAAATCATGACCTCCCGATCACGGAGCGAGCGCTTTACCGACTGAGCTACCGTGAACGCTACCAATATTATAAAAAAAAACCTGTACGCAAAATACCCAAACGAAATTGTGGTTAGTTTCGCATCGGGAATCCCTTATATTTCATCATTATGGAATCGATACTATCAACTCGTAAAATAAAGGCAGCAACCGGGAAATAGAAATATAAAAAAAATGTGGTAAATATTAAATGCAGATGTAATATTCATACATGTAGATACACGGATTTTTTCTTTCTTGATTTGCTCTTGTGAAAAAAAATATAATTTTGAAAATCTTGTACCCCTTGTAAAATAAATTCCATACCCAACATATCTACTTGAATATAAAGAAAGATGTTTAACTTTTATTCCTTTTAAGGGGATGCGTTTGGATACCATCATGGAAAGCAGTTCTATACAAAGGACAGAGATAGCGCCTATAACTGTTCCAACACCTTTAAGGGTGCATGGTGGTATGGCCACTGTCATGACTCCAACTTGAATGGACAATATCTAAGAGGAACTACAAGTTCGTATGCTACCGGTGTTGTATGGGAAACTTGGCATGGGTATTACTACTCGCTGAAATCTACTGAAATGAAAATCAGAAGAATGTAAAGTGAATAAAACAAAGAGAAAAAGAACATTATTTTTTTCATATAAATCTCTTAAACAACAGAAAAACAGAAAAAGTTAATCCTACTTTAGACACAAAGAAAAGCGTAAGGATGATCCGTATTTGACATTCAAAAACCTTGCAACTTTCATAGTAAGCAAATGAGAACCTTCTTTTTCAGAAAGAGAGTATTACTTATTAATAATCTTCATAGTTTAAGGGAGGTGAATTTTATGAAACCCTCGTCTTCGGAACATCGGTTCACTGACTTTGTATATTTAGTCAATTCACATGCTGGCCTGCAATTTTGTCTCGTTTTCAATTCATAAACTCACAGTTCTTTTTAAGAAAATATATTGTATTACCTATGTTTGAAATTCGCCCACTGAGGAGTAGGACAAAAGAGATTGAAGATTACCATGCATACATTCTTATACGAAGGACAGGTCTCCAGTCGTCCCATATTGGGATTCGAACCCGTGACGAAAGGATCCTAATGCCGAGACCAAGTTAAATTTTAGTTACTCCGTAAGTTGGAGTCTCGATATGAATAAATCATTTTTGGCAAAGTGTAAAACAAGTAATGTGGAAAGTCTATATGTACATGTAGCTGTCTTAATCATTTTTCTCAGATTTCTTTATTGTATTGCATAGCATATGTCAGTACTATTTAGACAAAGTCGGTAATCTAAAATTTTGAATTATTATAAATAGTACAAGGAACTATGCCTTAAAAGTATGACAAATAGTTGCAATGCATTAACATTCTGTAGTATTTCAATCTTATAAAAAGATATATATAGTGTATTTAGATATATGTTTTTTAAACTTTAATTTGTATCAAATTAATCTCATTACTCATTAAATTTTAATACTTACCATTGTGTATTTCCTCATCAAGTTTTACCTTACTTAACATTTTAAATACCATAAGTTTTATTTTAGTTTAATTACCCCTTATCATCAATTTTATGCATTCAGATATTGGGCATTCCCAGTCAGATCATCATAATCACTAACATCCTATTTTTCCAAAATAAACAAAACGTTAAATACAAGTTTATATCATTTTAATGAATTTATGTAAATGTAAAGTATATTTAATGTATTAAACATCCTTTATGTTCCTTAGTTTTCCTGCCAAACGACTGAGCTTGTTTTTTGTTAAAAGCAGGCAAAACAAATAACATCATGTTGAAGTGAAATATGTCATTTATTATTGTAAATGACGGAAAAGTAAAAAACAGTTAATAAAATTGGGGTCAGTAAAAGGAGGACTCAAATATAGAGTATTACACATTTTAGTCAAAATATTACACAATCTGACCCCCAGAACCATAATGACATTGTAACAAGATGTACATAGGCAAGAGGGGGCTCAACCAGACTAGAATAAGAATTCAAACCCTGTAATTTTTCACAAATTACAATATACATGTATTTCAAGTTGACCTCCTTATAAACATCATAAGTTTCGAAGACATATACAAAATGCTCAAAACTGCTGCCTGCCATCAAAAAAGGTGGGAAAACAAAATAACAAACAGACAATAACAAAGCAATCAGACAGGCATTAAATCGAACACAAAAAATGCGTCCCTCACCGCCGAGGAAAAACCATATATAAGAAGTAACACTGATTCATGTTGAAAAATCATATGGAAACCTGCAGACAGAAGCAAATTTGCGAGGTACACAAAATGAATGGCGGACTCATTCCATGTAATCTAATACATGCAATTGCTATTTATTACAATGTACAGAAATTTACTTGTTCAGTTAGAACGTCCGCTAGAGAATGAATATTAAAATCACTTTATCCCATTCAAACACTATCATAAAAAGATGAGTAAAACTTAACAAAAATGTCAACCTGAAAGAAATAACAGGCATAGGTGGCATATGGGGTGGATGGTCGGTTCGAAAAATTCAGCAGTTCAATAAACCATGCTTTCTCTTTTGGTCAGGAGAAGAACTTGTAAGTTGTAAGAACTTGTTTCTGATCCTTTTGTGTTAAACAATAAAATATGTTCAAATCAAATTCTCTTTTGGTAAACGGATCAATAATGATCACCTGATGGATAAGAATGGGGTAAAATTAGTTCAATAAAATGAACCGTATGGCTGTTTAGTATAAAGCTATGTACATGTACAATATGTACAATACAGATATTGTTATATTATAACATTATTAAACAAGAACATGTCGCATAAATGAAATTATTTGCAATAATTACTTTTGTTTGAAATTCAACGATAAATTATGAAGACAGTAGACACACGTAAAAAATATATGCAACTATGTTTTGTCAGTCTCTCAAGTGAGAATCATCTACTAGAATATTAATAATTTAAACATGACTGATAACAATTTGTTAATCATTAAAGAATGACAGTTCATCTAATTATTTAGAAATAACACCTTACTTCACAATTAAATTTGTGGGATCATGGAAAATGCATTACCTTGTCATTTAGAACACTTGATGTCTATTAAATGAGATAACAAGGCTAGGATACGGCGAGAGATAGCGCCCTGTCCTTAAGCTACATCATCTCTCATATATGTTTAAAATAATAAGTAAATAAAAAACCAAATTTAATTTAAGCTTTACTCAATATTCTTTTATGGTATTGAAAGTCAGAAAATCTATTTGAAAGACTGTTATGAATCGCAAATGAAATATAAAATTTTTTTATTGCACTCGTGCAATTAAAAATTCCCTATATTTTGTATCATTTAATTTTGTTTAAATTCTAATTATTCCAAATAATTGGTTAAATCCCGGGATGTTAATCAACAGGCGAATAATGACTTAAACTCACCAATCCAGAACTCGGTCGTAAGATTACCGAACCCGTTTTTATACTCAGTCCATCCCCTATAGAAATTCACAGAACCGTCAACTCTCCTTTGTATCATCTATACAGAAAGTGTAAATATTTTAAGTTGTAATTACTTTTGCTTCAAAAAAGTTTACACAACATTTTTCATATATATTAAATATTTTATTTCTTGAACTGATACCTGAACCTCTACGCCTACCATTGCCTCTTAGCTCTAACGAATTTTACAAAAAAAAAAATTAAAAAATATATAGGCCTACTATATCTGAATTACAAAATTTATATTTGATGTTGACAGAAGCATTACGGGTATGCGTCTGGACATCTTAGGAATGAGCTATATGTTTAATTTTCAAAAGAATTAAGGGTTTCATGAAATACACATGGTGCAATAGCTAAATCAATTTGAAGTAAGAATTGCATAGAAATCAATTATAGAGAAAGATGTTAACTGTATTTACCCAAGCAAATTACTATTTAAAAGATTACTGTAACAAACAATAAACACTATACTATAGTTATTATCACCATCCAACAACGCATCAGCAATATTATAATAATTATCACGATTAACAAAATTTAGTTTTCAGTTAACTTTGGAACTTTCTTCGTTCGGATGTAGTACTTTCCTAGCAAAGAATGTGTTCATTCTACCAAACCTTAAAAAAATTATTCTCTAGATAGTATAACAATTCAGAAACGACCTCAATAAAATTTCAATAATTAACAAAGAAAGTTTACTTTCAGTTAAACCAGCGTTGTTTAATGGTTGAAATATATAAATGTAAATGTAAATTCGTAGTATCTATTTAACTCTCATAATTGCTTTAGATTGACGTATAAATTGAATAAATACGAATCTAAGCAACTTTCTCCTTCTTCTCTTCGAATCCAAAGAGGTTTCTATGTTATATAAAAAAGACTCAGAAATAATTTCATTTTTCATAGAAAACATGTCAAGGACAGTTGTAGCATTCATTTGACATATTTTGCTACATTACCATAGTGGTCACAAGCTGCTATTAAAATTACAATGTAGAATATATAAATAAAAGAAAAATCAAAATTATAGAAAGAAAATAATACCGTCCAAACTGATCCTCCAGTGTTGATGCATGTTATTTGAAATCTCGAGTCGTCTATCTTCATCATGTCAGTCACTTCTTTGCCTTCCGAGAGTGGGATTCGACCACAGTCAGTGACTTTAAATGTTTGATTGATTATATGATTGATATTTGGTATTTATATACATGTATCTTATTATTGATAAATGACTTATGCTAGAATAATAAAGTATTTTATAATGGTAAGAGAGTAATGATTTGAAAATTCTTGAAAATGAAACGAGGCAAATGTAAAAATCCGTAAAAAACAAAACAAAAGCCAATGCCTGAAACTGTAAATATTAAAAAGATCTGTCGGTATTTTACGTGTTATTTAATTTTTTTAGCTGTTAGTATATTATGTCCACCACAGACATGATGATTTCACACGAGACTGTTGATATGCTTGTTACACCAGCTTGTTGAAAGGTAAATGACTTTCTCAATTAAAAATCGATTGTATATACATGTAGATATATGCCCCTATGTATTTAATCAATAGGAAACAAAAACTGCATATGCCGAAATTGCTACATAAGTAAGGAAAACTGACAATGCAAAAAGTTAAACATGTTAAAGACATCACGTTTGCCATAACAGTTTTAAAAAGGTTACCATTAATTTTTTTGTTCTCGGAAAAAAATCGAAATATGAAACAGATATTTCATATTCTGTGTTGTCTTTTATTTCAAGTTCACTTTGATTGTACATATAAATGGATATAATTTATGTTAATTGAAATACGTTATCGATATTTCTAAATGTCAATTTGAAGGCCATATTAAGTCTTCTAGATCTTCTCTTAACATTAAGAGGTTTTAACTAAATTCCTCTTTATATGAATAGTAAAATTTTATGAAGTCTGCTGCATGTTTAGTGGAGCATAATTTGTACAAATGGGAATTTCGAAACATTAAAAGAGTTTCTGGTGAAATAGTTTAAAATCTTTCTTTAAAATGACATTAAAATGAATAAAACTAAAAATAAAATGAATAGCTAAATTTTTTTGCATGTCATTTTTTTTTTTACCTTTTATTAGAACTTTGATATGATATCTTTTCTTACCTATCATTA